AGATTGCCTCACTGTTATCTTCAATTTGCTTTGTGGCCAGTTGGATCTGAACGCTGCTGAGGTGATCAGTGGCCACATAGTTGCTAAGATGGTCAAATGTCCCCAACCAGCCCATGGGACACAGCCTCATTCTTTCTGCCAAAGGACTGCCCACTGCCTCCCTCTCCCACCTGGATAAGTAGGATAGCCTTAGCTAGAACAGAATCTAGGCAGCCATGGTGTCACTAAAGAAAATGATCAGAGTCTATTTTGGCACTGGGGGCAAGTTTGAGAGGAGAGAAAGGACCGGGCTTTATTTTTTGCTGTAAACAAATCTGACCCTAGGTACAACTTTGCCCTTCCCCAGACCCAAACTCTCTAGAAATAAAATACAAGTTTGGCACCTGCTTTGAAACTTATTAAAGTTCTTAAAGTAAAACTACGGGAGACCTGAGATTTTGGACAAAAATTATTGAGACAGTAACTCAGAATCTAATTCCTAAAAGTCTTGGCAAATTTATCCAGGGGGCTGGTGCCAGTACAAAAATGAAATCATTGTCAGGGGCCACCGTGTACCTAAAATTAAACTTCATCACTCTTTGAATATGTAAGCCTCAGGCCTGAGAAGACATAAACATTTCTATCTTCACCCACCTATTTCCTCCTAAATGGGGCCCTTTGATTTAGAGGAATGGGCAAAATTCTATTCTTGCTATTGCTTAAGAACCCTTAAACTAAGTTTTCTTTTTAAATATTTTTTTTCTGATGACAGTGTTTTATTTGTAAAGTGACATCATTTCTGTCTCCCTTTCTTTTATTCATTGGAACCTGCAGATTGCAATTCTCCTGGGTACAATAAGCAAGAACTTTATAATGGTATCAATTGCAGGGGCAAGTTAATATAGCTTCATTAAATGACTAATGTGTGGGTACAGAGGTGTGAGCAACCTCATTCAGCTATATCCGTGGGGCTCCGGACTGGGACACTGAATGGGAGCAGCGCCCCCTATAGCTCCTCACTAGTACTACCACCCCCAAGGCCAAAGGACCATTAAGAGACTATAGGATAGCTAGGCCAGGAATTCTCTTTCTCCTCTCAAAGATGATAAAGGAAGCAGAAATTACAGGATCTGTGCTGGAAAGTAAATTAAATGTTCAAATTAGTTGCAGTTAGATTATTCCAAGAGATTAAGAGTGTGAACATTACAAGAAAGTTCAGTTACCTGATTGTTTTGTCTCTGTTGTTATTCAGTCATATCCAACTAATCATGACCCCGTGGACCATACTGTCAATAGGATTTTCTTGGCAAAGATACTGCAGCTGTTTGCTGTTTCTTTCTCCAGTGAATTAAGGCAAATAGAGGTTAAGTGACTTGCCCAGGGTCACACAGTTAGTATCTAAGGACAGAAATGGTTATCCCCATTTTGTGGTTGTGGAAACTGAGGCTTAGATCAGCTTCCTCATGGTCACACAGCTATTAAGTGTCACTGTTAGGTAAGTACTATACCACCCACCTTTTATAGATTCCTATATGCATGATGTGTTAGATCCAGGGCTGAATGTTAGTTTTTCAATGTGAGAATTTTAAACTTGGAAACTGGCAAATGCTACAAATTACAAGTTGATTTATTGTTCTGTTGATTGTCCAGACTTAGGAAAGTAATGGAGAAAATGTTAAGAATAAATTTTAAACTGAAAAGTAGTACATTTTTAAAAAATCAATTCACCATATGAACCTATGTGCATATATTATTTCTCTCTCCTGATAAATACCTCGTAATAGATGTTTAATCAACATTTGTTGTTTGACTAAGAAAACTAATGGTAAGAGTGGTTAACTGACTTGCCCACAGTCATAGAGATTGTAATACTTATAGATGGGATTTGAAGTTGTTCTAACTCCAAGACCAGCACTCTATTCACTGCACTATCCTTTCTTTCTATAGAGAAAACACAGTAGAATACCCTTAATTTTTTTAAATAGCAAGATAAATATTATCCTCCAGAGTTAGTATGAGAATGGAGTTTCTGATGAATCTGAATGAAAACACACAAGATGTTGCTGATTACTGTCTAGTCACTGGAGGATTTTTTTTTTTTTTTGCATTTTCATCCACTGATAAAGAACCTTAGAAATTCTTCCTAATTGAAAAAGTAAAATAAAATACAAATTACATTAAGAGCCACAAAATCAACTACCTGGGAGGAAGGAACTGCCCCCTCCATCTCTCTCTCTCTCTCTCTCTCTCTCTCTCTCACTCTCTCACTCTGTCCCCTCTCTCCCTCTCCCTCTTCTTCTCACTCTCTCTCTTTCCCTCCTGTGAGAATGGGCTATGGCTTGCCTGGACCTTCCCTAGAAATACCTCCTTCAGTGCCTTGGAGGCTAGTTACCCTGGCCACCGAGAGAGGCCTCTGAAGAATGTAAGAAATTGATCTTTGAATATGGTGCTTCTTGACGAATGATTATAAACATGATGCCCTAAAGTGTCCATAGATGGATCCCATGGCGGGTCTGAGGACTTGGGTGGGAAGAAAATACAACTTTATCTTCACTAACCCTTAACTGAAATTAAGCATTTCCTTGAATTCTTTTTTTTTTGTGAGACAATTGGGGTTAAGTGACTTGCCCAGAGTCACACAACTAGTGAGTGTTGTGTGTCTGAGGCCAGATTTGAACTCAGGTCCTCCTGACTCCAGGGCTGGTGCTCTATTCAATGTTCTACCTAAACTGCCCCTTGAATTCTTTAACAACATTATTCTAAGGAGGGCTTCATAGGTTTCACCAGATTGTAAAGAGTTCCATGACATAAAAAAAATTAAGACCTCAACCCATGCTCTAGCCTAGATCAATGTGAGGAACTGAGGAGTGGGGATGGAAACAGTTGTTAAGAACTAGCTCAGGCCCTGGACTGGATACCTATTCTCTGGGATACTCCTGGGATACAATAGATAGAGGAAAAGACTTGAATCAGGAGGACCTGAGTTCAAATCCTGTCTCAGACACTTTTTACTTGTGCAACCCTGGTCAAGTAATTTAACCTCTCTCAGCCTCTGTTTCTTCATCTGTAAGAAAGAAAAGGACCTGAACAAGATGGCCTGTAAGGTCCATTCTGATTGTAAGTCTGTGATCCTATAATCTTGCATAATTGATGTGAAGAAGCTTTGTTAAAAGTTAAAGGATATGCAAACAAGCTGCTGCTGCTATGTTTGGAATAATTATTAATTTGACATCTTTGCTGAATACCAAATGAGCTAGGAAAAAGTCTAATATACATAGTGAGTACTTGTAAGGTTGTGTATTAGTAAAGGGGGAGGTGGTTTCCACACCAAAATGGAGCCAATTCATCCTGTATAGGTAAAGTATTGGATGCCCAGAAAACCTGAGGGACTGTATTTATTTCTTCTCTGGCCTCAGAGTTCCATTGCTAAGAGTCAGAGTAAAACTAATGGGAGTAGCTCTCAAGACTAGGATTTAAGGTTAGTGAGTGGTAAGGCAGAGTGGGTGCTCTGAGTAAGCATTAGAAGCAGTGTGGTATAAAGGATAGGAAAATGGGGCTGGAATCAGGAAAACCTGGGTTCATGCTCCATCTTAGACACTCACTAGCTTTGGGAACCTGGACAAATCACTGAAAGTGTCTAAGTCTCATCAATAAAATGGGGAGACTAATAATCCCTGCACCCCCCAGGGCTGTTGTCAGTAAGATGTCTGTAACATGATTTGCAAACTTTGATATACTGTATAAATTCTTTATTTACTGTATAAATAATACCAGTGTTATTGCTGGTATTATTTGGGAGGCTGTAGCTGTGTTTTGGGGGCTTGTACCTGTGGTTTGGAGGTATTTAAGTGGTGCAGTGAATTGAGTGCCAGGTCTAGAGTCGGGAAAACTCTTCCTAAGTTCAAATCTGGCCTCCAATACTTACTGTGGCCAGTCATTTAACCCTGTTTACCTCAGTTTCCTCATCTGTAAAATGAGCTGGAGAAGGAAATGGCAAAACCACTCCAACACGTTTGCCTAGAACACTCCAGATGGGTATATGAAGAGTTAGGCACAACTGAAATGACTGAACAACAGCAACCCATGGTTTCACGGGGACGGGCAACTCCCATTGAGGAAAGTCACTCTGCCAATTTGGATTGGCACTTGCCCTCCAGTCTGAGTTTTAGAGCATTACCTGGGACACAGAGATTAAGTGATTTTCCCAGGATCACATAGGTAATAACCATGGCTAGCATTTATATAGGGCTTTAAGGTTTACAAAGCTCTGGACCTGTTAACTCATTTGACCCTCACAACCCATGAGGTAAGTGCTATTATTGTCCCCATTTGATAGATAAGGAAACTTTGGCTGAGAAAGATTAAGAGATTTGCCCAGGGTTACACAGTTAATAAGTGTCTGAGGTGAGACTTGAACTCAGGTTTTCTGGACTCCAAGTCTAGGGCTCTATCCACTGAATCACCTAATTGCCACAATATGTGTCAGAAGCAGGTCTTGAACCCACAGCTTCCTGATCCTGGAGCTGACTCTCTCTTCACCGTCACACTGTCTCTCATTACTATTACTATTATCACAAAAATGTGTTCAGTTCAATATCTATCATGGGTCCTGGTTATGTATCTTCAATAAAGTGTAAGCTCCTTGAGGGCAGGGGTTTTTGTTGCATGGTGCCTGACATATAATAGATACTTTTAAATGTCTATGGAATGAATAAACAAATAGTTACAAGAAATCTCCCAGCACCTTTAAATGGTCAGGGCAGCATAAGGGGAGGGGTAGGGCACCCTGTAAGAACAGAGCACAGAGGGCTGGGAAAAGAGAATCACTGGCCAGGTGCTAATTTCCAGGCTACATGTGTCTTTAAAATAAGGTTACCTGGGTTCTGAAAGGGCTCTGGCCCTGAAGCATTGGCTTTTGAGTTATTGCTAGGGGAAGAATGCTTCTTTTGGATTAGGTCTCCTTCTCACCACCCCGGTTCTTTCTTTTTTTCTTTTCCCCTTCTGCTTTCCAATGCAATCAGCTGGACAGTGCTCCATGGCAGAATTGGATACCTGCAGAGTCCCTTCCGGGTCTCCTTGGAATACATCTCAAGTGCCAACGGGAGCCTATCTCTGGTAGATTCTTTGTCTCTGAAGAACTGCAGTGAAGGTATGTGTTATGCGATCCCTTTGCCTGCATGCACATTTTGTGACCTCGCTGATGAACAAGAATGCTAATATGTATCAAACGAGTGTACTTCCTGAGTAAAATCCCTTTTGTCTACAATGGTTGAGAAACTGAGTATTGGGGGTTACCCTTTATAGAGAGTTACCACATATCCTACGGAAAGAGAACCATTTTTGAAAGAAGCAGGATGATAGAGTGGAAAATGTGATAAATATAGAGGCAAGATCATGGCTATTGCTCAGTACCTGTGTGACCTTGGACAAGTCACTTAACTACTTTAGGCCTCAGTTTCCTCATCTGTAAAATGGGGGAGTTGGGCCAGGTAGCCTCCAAGGTCCCTTCTAGCTCTAAAAGTATGACCATGTGCTTTGGAGTAAAGGAAAATCTATTTGACTTAAGAAAAGCTACAGGGCACAGTGGATAGCACGCTAGACTTGTAGTCGAGAAGATCTGGATTCCAGTTTTGCCTCAGATATTTCCTAACTGGGTAACTTGCATAATTTGATCTCACCAAGCCTTGTTTTGTCACCCAGAGAGCAGGGGTTTTTAAAAAAGGACTTATTTCACTGGATTGTCAAATAAGATCACGGTACAAAAAGCATTTAGAGTGTCATGTAAATGTGAGTTGTTATTATTATTAAAACCACTCCAACCATAATCTAATCTTCCTTTGAGGATCCAGAAGGCCTCTCAGAATCTTGCCACGCTCCAGCATCCTTATGAATATCAGCCTTCCTGGTCCATTGTTGTAAATGTGGATCTAGGATGTTGGCTTGGATTACACAGAGCCTGTGGCATGCCTCTGAGAGTTACTGTTTTGAATAAATCATTGAAGAGTTTTTGAATAAACAAGCTGTTAATCCTAGCTTGTTCACCATCTTGGGTTTCTTTCTCATAAACGTAGAGGAAATTCCCATAGTTCTGCTCACCAAGAAATTTTGGGGCAACTTCACATGGCAGCCAGGGGCCTCTAAGTACTCAGACAGCAGGGAGCCAGGACAGGAAATCCATTGACCAGATCTATAGAAGGGAGGAAGGAAGAGAGGGAGGAAGGAAGGAAGGAAGGAAGGAAGGAAGGAAGGAAGGAAGGAAGGAAGGAAGGAAGGAAGGAAGGAAGGAAGGAAGGAAGGAAGGAAAGGAGGGAGGGAGGGAGGAAGGAAGGAAGGAAAGGAGGGAGGGAGGAAGGAAGGAAAGAGAAGGGAAGAGAGGAAGGGAGAGAAGAAGAAGGAAGGAAGAAAATAAGCATTTAGTAAGTACCTGCTATGTGCCAGACACAGTGCAAAGTACTGTACAAATGTTATCTCATTTGATCCTCACAACAACCCTAGGAAGTTGCTATTATTCACCCATTTTACAGTTGAGGAAACTGAAACAAATAGAAATTAAATTACTTGCCCAGGGTCACACAGCTATTAAGTGTCTAAGGTGGGGTTTGAACTCAGGTCTTCCTGATACAAGGTCCAACTCTTTCCACTGTGCCATTTAGTTGCCTAGGTTCTCAGAAAATTCCAGTAATTTGAGCTTTATGAATGTTTACATTCTGGATGAACAAAAATGTATTGTTTTAGTCATTGTTGATAGGTTTTATTGGTCAGTGCATTAAACTGGTGATGGCTCAAGTTGTACTACTGGTACCATTAACCATAGCTACCCTTCTATCTTACTTGAAGTTTAAAAAAATTAGTCTTGTTTTTGCCATATGTCTGTAAGTACTCTATGTATAACCCTGCCTTGTAACAAATAAAAATAGTTAAGTAAAAGCACATCTGACAGTGCATGTAACACTCTGTACCCAAATATCTCCACCTTTCAACCAAGAAGAGGGATAAATTACCTGCAATTTCTTTGCTCACAAATGGTACATGAGGTCCTCACTTTTGCCGGTGAACCCTGTAGTGGAAGAGAGGCTAAAGAAATGAGCTGGTTATGCTGGAGGGAGACTTGTATTGAAATGAAGCAGTCATAGGGGATGTGTCAAGGAACAGGCGTAATTCTCAGTATTAGCATAAATCCGTTTGAGCATCCTTGGCAGAAGGTAAAGTGGATGAGGGATTCTCTTTGCATAAGACTCATGATAGAAACTTGTGTAAAAAGACTTTGCTTATCTTGTGATAATTCTTTGTCCCATGGATAGAAAGATGTCAGACTACCTGACCAATATTTCTTTTCAACAGCTCTCTCCCAGAAAATTGTTTCCATCACACCCAACCTATTTCTTGGTGAATGGTGCCTCATGTTAGTGGAGTGGGTTACCTGAGGATGTACTGTGAGCATATGACTGAGTCCTAGAGCCCCAGATTCCATTCTGCCTTTTTACCCTTTTGAATGAAAGGGCTTCACTTCAAATGGGGCAGAAAGATTTTGGGGAGAGTATCTCGAACTTGTTGGTGAGACCTAGGTTTAGTGGATGGCATCATGGTGCCATGGATAGAGTTAGATTAGGAGTCAAAGGTCCTAGACTCAAATCCTGTCTCTGCCCCTTTCTACCTGTGTGAACCTGGACAAGTCACTTATAACCTCTCAGGCCTTTGGTTTCCTCATCTATCAAAAGAGGAGGTTGGAGCAGATGACTTCAAAGTTCCTTCCAGCTCTAAATCTATGATCATTTGAGTCCTCCCTCTGACATTTACCTGTGTGACCATATACAAGTCATTTATTCTCTCTGAGACTCATTTTCCCATCTGTAAAACAGAGATATTGGATTGGTCCCTTTTGATTCTAAACCTTCCCAGTCTGTAATATGACTATTTCATTCCTTTGCTGATTCAGAAGGCCCTTCAAAAATGCATAAATAATATGTCCTCCTGAGAAAAAAAGGGAAAAATATCTTCTCTCTGACTTCTCCACTTCTCTGATTTTTAGACAGGTTAGCCCAAGTAGCCCAGACAATACTCAGAAAATCAGTTCCTGGCTCTCTCTTGGGGTGATCCCATCCAGACCAAGGTCAAGGTTTCTACATAGGAAACACTGTCTCCTTACCTTCTTTCTTGTTTCCTCCCTAAACCTTCTTATAACCATGGAAAAGCAAAAGTAAATGTTTGAAGGATGAGAGCAAGGGACCTTTTTTTTTTTTTAACGTTATGTACTTGGCACTGGGTCGAGAGTCAGAAAACATGGATTCAAATCCTCCCTCTGATTCAGATCCTCCTTTTGTGACTTTGAACAAGTCATTAAATCTCATTGGCCTTAAGTTTCCTCTTTGACAAAAGGAGAAGGTTGGATTAGGGGATCTGGAAATACCTTCCAGCTTTAAATCCCTGGTACTATAGCCCTATAGCAGAGAGAATGAAGTCAAATAACACTTAACAAGCAAGAAGATCCAGTTTCAATCCTAAAATTGATTATGTTTACAAATAGGGGAATTGCTTTTGGGTTGTCCCTAATGTACTTTTTTTTTTTCCTGGGAGATAGAATTTGCTTTTTTTTGAAGTTGGGGTTTGAGAGATGCAATAGGCTAGAAAAAGGGTGGTAGAGCCGATAGAGCCCTGGACTTGGAGTCAGAAAAACCTAGGAACAAATCTCACCTCAAACACTCACTAGTTATGTGATTCTAGGCAAGTCTCTCATGTACTTTGAGCTTCTGTTTCCTCATCTATAAACGGAGATTAAAAACTTCTTCCTATGAGAAGTTGCATAGTTCAAGAGAAAAAGTTCTGGATTTAGAAACAGAGGATTTGGGTTCAAATTCCAGTTCTGCTAGTTACTGCCTGAATAACCTTGGACAGGTCACTTTACACCTCTTGGCCTCAGTTTCCTCATTCATAAAATGAGGGGGGTGGACTAGATCAGTAATCTTCAACTCAAATAAAAATGGGGGCCACTAATCCAAACACAAAACAACTAGGTGGCACAGTGGACAGAGTGCCAGGCCTGGAGTCAGGAAGACTCATCTTCCTGAGTTCAAATTTGGATTCAGACATTTACTAGCTGTGTGACCCTGGGCAGGTCACTTAACCCTGTTTGCCTCAGTTTCCTCATTTGTAAAATGAGCTGGAGAAGGCAACCACTCTAGTATCTTTGCCAAGAAAACCCTAAATGGGGTCATAAAGAGTTAGATATAACTGAAAAAGGACTGAACAATAACAACAAATCTGAACACAAGAATCCCTGAGATCCTTATATTGAATTAATTTTAAAATGGAATATTACCTACATTTTATTGTATTTTTACTTCATTAAAAATGTCCAGTTTCATTTTAATCTGGTTCAGGATGTACTTGAGAGTGTTGTGAGTCATATGCTGCTGCATGTTGGACACCTCTGGACGAGATGACCCCTAAGGTCCCTTTCAGCTATAAAGTTATAATTATGTTCAAGTCACAGAACTATTGTGAGAACCAAAGGAGATGACATAGGTAAAGACTGTTTGCAAACCATAAGATGCTATAGAAATATGAGCTGTTATTACTAAAATTAAGATGGAGCTAAGAAAAGAAGCACGATTGGCAAATATATGTAAATCGGCTCAGTGGAAAGAAGTTTGGTGAGCTGTTGAAAAACATGGGCCCAAAGGGTCACAAATTAAATACAATACCAGCTAAGATCTCTCATCAATCGAAATCCTCATCATATAGTCTTCTGGCATCCTTGTCATATCATCGTGGAGGAGCAGAAGACAGGAAGAAAACACAATTTCCTCTTTTTTTAAACACCCTGCTCTTCTGTACTGTTTATTTAATTTTTTTTAATTTTTCCTTTCCTCTGAGAGAAAGAGAGGAGAGAGAGAGAGAGAGAGAGAGAGAGAGAGAGAGAGAGAGAGAGAGAGACAGAGAGAGAGAGAGAGAGAGAGAGAGAGAGAGAGAGAGAGAGAGAAATTGTGTTTTCTGACTTATCAGGAAATGCCTCATCATGAACAGCCTGGTACAGAGAGTGTCATAGAGTCATCAAAGGACTAAGGTAGAAGGGATATTAGAGTTAATCAAATACAATCACTACTCAAAGCACGAATCCCATGTGCGGAGTCCCTGAGAAGTTGTCATCCA